GGAAAGAGAGATATCACTATGATATCAGGAACAGTTTCAAAATGCTACCGGTGTTCTAAAATATGATGGTTTTCATGTACTATAAATGATACACTTTTTATATTGATATACTATACAACAGTATATTTTAATCAATCTAGATAACACTGCCAGAATTTTGACAAGAAGGAATGGCTTTAGTCGACATGAAATAAGTACTTACCTTCTACCAGTGGTGATATCAGACAATGACTACCCGATCCAGAGCAGCACTGGCACACTGACCATTCGAGTGTGTGCCTGCGACAGCCGGGGGAACATGCAGTCCTGCAATGCTGAGGCCTTGCTCCTCCCTGCTGGCCTCAGCACAGGGGCACTGGTTGCCATTCTCCTCTGCATCATTATCCTGCTAGGTAAGAAAAATAAATGCATCTTTTCCCCCATCAACAAGTGCTTCAGGCCTGACTCATTTTACAAAACTATGCAGATTGGTAAAATTAATGGTCATGGATTTTGCAAGAAAAATTTAACTGCAACTTAAAACAAAAAGAAAAAAAAAGGCAAAATCGGTTTGTCTGGGAATTGGACATTATAAGTAAGAAGTCCCAAAATATTAAAACTATCAAAACTATCAGTGTGGAACCAGACGCTTGTTTTTGTTCTTTTGTTAAGTTGTCCAAAAAAGAAGACTGGAGAGGAAGAATAGCATAGTCAAAAATCACTTTCATGTCTCTCATTTTAAATTTTTTGAGGGAATGTATATTTTTTATTTAAATAACTATCTAAAGACAATATGCAGTATATATTTCACACAGAATATGCCAGTAAATAGTGTTTTTACTATATTAAAGCACTGTCTATCCAGAGGTTTCTGTGCTGTAATAAAAAAATGTAAATTTTGTAAAACCTCCATTTTGAAGTTTTCAGAATATCATTTAATGACCTATAATTCACCTCAAAATGAGTTTTTAATAGTATACTTTGAGCTTTAAAAAGGGAAAAGGTCTTCAGAATAGACCTGGCTATTTTAAAAATCATTGAAGATACAGAAGGAGCATGTAGACAAGCTCACAGTTCTGTAAAGCAGAGCACACAATGTGTGTGCAAAATAGCACATTTTGATATAGACCTTACTGAGCTACCATAATACAGATAGAGATGTTTATCCATTTATCAGACAGAAATGAATAGCTGAAGTGTAGCTGAAATAAAGCTCTTGTACCTGGTGGATTTGCTACTAATAAATTGTTAAATAGAGATCTGTACCCATTCTGTGTTTCTCTCTTTAAGTTATAGTGGTGCTGTTTGCTGCTCTGAAGAGGCAACGAAAGAAGGAGCCTTTGATCCTCTCTAAAGAGGACATCAGAGACAACATTGTGAGTTATAACGATGAAGGCGGTGGAGAGGAAGACACCCAGGCCTTTGATATTGGCACACTGAGGAATCCTGCAGCTATCGAAGATAAGAAGCTTCGACGAGACATTATCCCCGAAACGTTATTTGTACCACGGAGGACTCCTTCAGCACCAGATAACACAGATGTCCGAGATTTCATTAACCAAAGGCTAAAAGAACATGATACTGATCCTTCTGCACCACCGTATGACTCGCTTGCAACCTATGCCTATGAAGGAAATGATTCAATAGCTGAATCCTTGAGCTCCTTGGAGTCGGGTACTACCGAAGGAGACCAAAACTATGATTACCTCCGAGAATGGGGCCCTCGGTTTAATAAGCTAGCTGAAATGTATGGTGGAGGAGAAAGTGACAAAGACACTTCTTAACCTACAGTAGGCTACATTTTTGTTTCCTTTGAGCGGAAGTAATTTTACAGACACCTTCTGCACTCAACAGTATTTAACATTCAGGAAGATTTTCCTGCCACTCAGCACAATGGTTTCGTTTTAAACTTTGTTTTAAATTTGTCCATTAATGTCATTCATTCTTTCTAGTAGGATGCCACTTGGAATATATACAGCATTTTATTTAATCACCTTCCAAGAGCCAAAGCTATGGAAATTCAGTGTTGTCCATTTTAGTAAGTAAAATAAACAATATCTTATCTTCAGAAATTTGAACAGGGTGATAATCCCTTAAGCAACCTCATGTACAAGCCGCTTCTGTTAGATACATGTCCTATCCTTGCAAGTGCAGCTTTTAAGATGGCAAAGAAGAAAAAATCCGATATGTCCTGTTCTGTACATTAAAATTGAAACAAAATGTACACGTGGTGTTAATAAGTGTAATATGCAGCTGGTTTAAAAAAAAGTTTGTGCAACTTCATTTCATCAAATTCTATCTGCCAATGTTTTATATTTATATTTTTGTATTTATTTTTAAGAAATAAACCAGTTTTTACAACTATGTTGATGCTTGCCTGCCTGTTCTGGCCATCAATTCCAGGCTTGAAGAGAACATGAAATTTCTCTGATGACAGCACAGCCAACTGCTAGTACTTCTGTGCTGCAGTATTCTATATACATTTAACACATTCTGAAGTGTTTGTGTTCACAGGGAGAGGAACAAGTTATAGACTTATTTGCTTGCTCAAAAGTGCTACTTCCTACAGTTGTCATGTTTAAGAGAAATTTTATTTTATTTTTGAGCTGAACTAATGATATTTGATTCTAGAAAGATGAACTACTGTTTTGTCTCCACTTGAATTACTTTATTCTAAAAACATGCTAGTGCAACTAATCCAGCCAAACACATAAAATTAATTTCAAAAACTGAATTTATTTGTTCCATAGTTCTCCGTTCTGAATCATAATTGCATCATTAGGGGTGATCTGTAACTGCAATGGATGAAGTGTAAAAAGATGTCTTAATCATCATTTTTAAGCACCATCCTTTCTGAAGACGAGTCATTTGATGACAAACCACTGTGTGTTGTATTACAACCATTTGAGGGTAACCTAATCTCCTTTAAAGCTGTCAGACTGAAGGCTGACAAAGTGTCAGTAAAACTAGCACACCCCCACCCAATTTACTGAGTTTTCAGATAGCTTGGAAAAGTCTAGTAAAAAACCTGAGCAACTAGCCAACTGTAACAGAAATCATACTTTAGCTATCACAAAACAAAGTAGGTATCCCAAGACATTTTAAGGTGTCTCTTTTTTCTTTCAATCTTTAGATTGCACTAGTCTACTTAGTAAACAAACACTATGATTTTGAAACATTGCTGAGATGAAATAATTTCAGAGCAAAAGCAAGATGTCGTAGGGTCTGTATTTACTTATTTATTGTAGAAGAAACACATCTGAGGGATAATCCCTCCTCTGTCTCTCTTAAGTTCTTACTGGCATAAAATCGACATTGAAAATATATTAGTCCTTCGAAAAGTGCAATGCTGCATTCTTATTTGATCAGATATTTCTTCTCCTTAGTAGAGTGATTAAACCCAATGAAGCTGAAAGCTGAATACAGTGCCATTATGCAAGCTATTTAGGTGCAATGGAGACCAAATTTTTATTGACTTGAAAACAAGTTAAACTATTTGATCTATCACGAAACTGCGAAGATTATGGATTTTTTCTTCATTTCACTCAATAATACTTTCATTAACTAAGGAATTTTTATATTTCTTAACAGAAAATAATTCTGAGAATATCAAGAAACATCTTAGATAATCAGCATTACAAAGCTTTGTAGAAGTCTTACAGGCCGTACAAACAGTTGATCTTCTTTACGATTATCTAGTGAAAGGGACCTTATTTTTAATTCCTTCTTAATCTCCATTTGTCCTTCAACAGTATGTAATAGGGTGAAACAAACAAACAAAATTCATCCATTAAATACATAAATAGCCAAAAGGCACTCTTCCAATATTGTTTTCTGTCTGCAGCAGCACTGAGATCAGTGACACCCTACATATTTAACTGAGCAAGTATTAGGGCAGAAAATAAAATAGGCTGTAATACAGCTGGTTTTTAGCTCTTTGTTAAAAAAAAAAAAGATTTTAGTTAAACAGGTCCAGCCAACACTTTTACGTATAACTCAGTAAGAATCTCTGTTTTGTTTCCAGAAAGAAAAAACAAACACACACAGCTCCCTCACTCCTTAAACATATAAGCAAATGTCAAATAAGACACTATTATTTTGATTTGCATTACAGTACTTATTTCTGAGTAGTAATTATGTGGAAATATTTATCACTACATTTAAGGAAGTAATTTTGTAATTGTTCAGTAGAATCTGAACCTAATGTTTAAAATTGAATCCTGTATGCTTTATTAAATAAAATAGTAGTATACATTGTGGAAGTATATAATAATAAATAAACATACTGCTAAAGCTTTTATATAAATAGTATAAATGAAAATTTGTTTTACCACTTGCCATATCCTTGGAGTTTTATTTCCCAGTACATTTTAGGAAAAGGAAAAAAAAAGTCCATTTCAACACTGTAGATGTTGCTGTGTAAATAGCTTTTCACTGTACAAATATATACCATTTTACTGTACAAATACTTCAGCCTAGTGAAAGTGGGCATAGGAACATGCAGTCACCTCTGCAGGCAAATCATAAAAAAGCATTCAGGAAGTCATAATTCATTGTCGTATCTAATTTATTCTAGGAACTGGATCAGGTAAGCAACTGAGTCTAGTCCTTAATATAACACACAGTCACAGAATAGTCCACAATGTTCTCCATGCTCTTACATGCCGCAGATGAGTCATAACAGCTTAGTCAAATGTAAGGCCATATAGTAAAACATAAAAGCCATGAGTATCACGTCATGGACAGGCAGAAGAAAGGAATCAAGGGCGCTATCCCAATGACTTTCTTACACCCTTACAATAGTGAGGAATTGGAAAATGAAACTCCCAGACAATTAAAAGTGGAGAAAATGTAAAATAGGACACCTGCTTCCCAAGTAGTACCTGCTAAGCCTAGCCATATGAAATTGTGTGAAAATTAACAAAATGTGACAACATGTAGTAAACAAGACCCAGGTCTTGCTTAGTCTGAATGAATTTTCTATGACAAAAATGCCACAGGACTACGCGAAACAAAGAGAAAATACATTAATATGGCATTTCAGGTGGAACCTACAAATGACTTACAAGACAGACCTTATGAATGTTTAAAAATTCAGCTGCCAGCGCTGTATATGCAGATGTTTTTCACTCATTCACTGTTACGAGGTGTCACGTTTCCATCATTTCTCCTTCAACTGCATGTAATACTATTCCCAGGCCAAACTATTTATCAATTTCATTACTGTCTGTCAAGACTCTACCCTTCATTCCTCTCACTCATTGTCCAGTGTGACTCTATTGCCCTTGAATCAGATGTTCCTATAATGCTTTTTTAAATTCTTCTTATGCTATCACACAAAGTTAGAAGAAAAAGCACCAAAGTTGCTATGTTATTCTCTTTCAAACCTCTTCTTATAATTTGCTCCTACTGAAGTAACTATTAAAATACCTGTTAAGGGCTACAGAGCTGCTCACTATGCTAATCCTGAATAATGCAGACAATTAAATCCAATTATTGCTCCATGTTGTTTCAGACTGGTTTGCCTTTATTCTAACAGAAGTCAAATTCTTTGACAGTGTTCCTCTAGGTTTATCCAACATCTGGGAAAAGTAAATACTTTCTTTTGGCCCGTCACTAACTGCTCAAAATAAAAATCAATGAACTTTTTAGGAAGCTAGTTAATAACATGTATCTGATATAAGCATGTCAACAAAAGAGTTTAGGCTTCCTTGCTTTTTGTCAAATGAGTGAACTAGAGATCTGACTATAGAAGTTACCAGAAGCCTTCAAACACTGTATTATCATCAGACTCACTTGAACAGCACAGAAATCACCCAACAGTAATCTGTTCACAGCAAGATGAGCAGATAGATGTTCAAGCTAAAACAATTTCACTTATTAATAACAGCGTTAGCTATGATGTTCAAAACCATTACGTAAATAGTAAACATCAGGAGATAATAGCAAATGTAAAGAGACATGCAAATACAACTTTTTTGCCCACAAAATGTCATGGCCTTCTCTATTGTCTCTCCAGTTTTTCAGAGGCTTACTCAAACTTTGTTCTAATACAGTTGAACTGGTTGAAAAATCGCTTTCCACATAAATGAAGATGTAAAATATAGTAATAACAACATGGGAACCAATAAATACAATAAGCCAGATAGAACTAATTTTTTTTAGGTTTTCTTTTGTTTTCTCTTCTTCCAGCTATTTTTGTTTTCATTTTAAAGGAATATTGTCAACCGAAATCAAAATGGCAGTTTTTAAACTAATGTTTTTTTCTGAGTGCGAGTTTCTCTTTTTTTTCAAACAAAAATTTTCAAACCAAACATTTAACTTTTGAGAAAACTTCATTGTCTTTAAGTTGATGTCAACCTCAGGAAACAATGAAAAATAAAAAATTCTTTGAAAAGAAATATGACAAATACTCTTTCTTTGATTTTTGGCTATAAACCAGAGATCAGATATATTTTGAACATATACTTGGCAAAATACTACTGAACATTTTCATTAATGTTTGCAAAACAATATTTTGATTATTGATTAAGCATTGGAAGGAAAACATTTTCTAAATATACTTGCACCCATGTTTAGACGCTGTGTGTGGAAACTTTCACCAAGCTTCTCTTATAGGTGTGCTTTCGAGGGAAACAGAACAAATTCTAATTGTATAATATTTATTAAAATGCCAGAGGAAAGCCAACAATTAAATCTAGAAAGTATTTTTTATGTTCCAAATAGGCTATAGGATGACAAGGTAGTGTGTCTTGCAGCTGTACAGTCACAGAAATTACAGCAAATTCAAGAAATTAATTAATCAAAAATTCCTGAAAAGTTTTTTGAAGTCATGACAGTGTTGATAAACTTTAATGTATGGAGGAACTTTGGTATATTTAACAATGGTTAAAGAATGTCTCCATCATAATGCACATCTCTAATATGCATCTCCCCTCATGAATTTCATCATTATAAAGAATTACAGAAGTAATGAACGTTTGCCATTTTGGCTGGTTTCTGGATAGTGTGGTAATCTGCTTGTTCACGAGGACAGAAAGTCAGAAGA